AATTAGAAATATACATTATCATCTGAAAGACTAACACACCTATAAGACTTCATAAAATATTATAAAAACTTAATTTATTAAACTTAATATAATATGCGCCAAATAATGTCATAAGAATCCATCTAATCGTAAAATACATTTAAAAATTGTTATGAAACTATTACTTATACCATTGATTATAAATACTATTTATAATCAATGCTTATACTAGGGTATACTTAATTTATTTGACTATAATTTATCAATAATATTTTAGATTCCGAGTGGAGTGATTTTATGACGATGTGTGTGTGTGTTTTATTTATGTGTACACGATTTATGATGCAAATAGTGCTTTGATTTTTAACTTCAATATCTTTTCTAGTAGAGAAGTGAAGTTAGTTGATACATTTTGAGAAGTCAAAATTAACAATTTTCAGTATCTACTTTTAATAAATTGGAAAAATAAAAATTTTTACGTAAAACCAACATTTGGCAAAATCGATTTTGTTATTTTGTTATAATTTAAAAATCAAATTACCGTAGATTCTTGTCATTTTCTCATTTTCTATAGGGTACATTCAACGGTATAATTTTCAAAATATTTTGAATCTTTTTGAGTTATTTATAGACATTTGATATTTTCAATTTTTAGTTTTTTCTATAAATATAATAAAAATGTTCTCTCTTTCAAAACGTTTGAAGTTTAAACTTTGAACATGTAATACACGTATTTAATATGTATGATATAATATGCATTTGAAGTTACATATTTTTAGTTTGTTTTTAATCTAAACATTTGTTTTACAAAAAGTATTTAGGCCCTAAGTTTATATATCTCGATAGAAACATGTATGATAAAGTAACCATTGATTATATACTCTGTGATGAAATATTATACAAAATATTAAGTAACTCTTTTCGAGAACGTTTTGTTAAAGAACTCCAAACTTTAATGTCACTTGAAAATAATCCAGAAAATCTATTCAGTCGATTACTCAAAGTCATAACTAAACTTTTAAACGCATTCAAAAATGCTTAATAACACAATATACGATGATTTAATTCATAGAATAATATATCAATATTCAAATAGCTGTAACCTTAAAACAGTGGGATAATTTTAATAATATATTAGTTATGACAATAAATGCTTAATTAAAGTAAAGAAATATTTTTGTATTTATTTTTACTATAGAAATATAAAATAACCTATTACCTAGGTGAAGTTTACAACTTTAGATAAATTATATATAATTAAAATCAATCGCTGAACTGTTAATATTTAATTTCATAACTACCACTTATTTGTATGCGGATTATACTATTATATCAATTGAAACCAAACAATTATTTATGTCTTTCATGTATTGTAATATAGTTTCACTTAGATGCGGAAATATATATGCGATGTTTTGTTAATATTATATATAAAAACAAAAGTAAAAAACATGTTATATAACTTAATGAATGAAATTAATTGTAATTGTTTAAAATATTAGTGTAAATAATATTTATTAAGTAATAACAATGAGTATATATTGTAACAATGGTACCTAATCACTAATAATAACAATTTTAGTAGGAGGTCAATAAGTAAAAATAGTTTCCAAAATAAATAGCTATAAGTTATAAACTTATAACCATTGATTTCGGAATTAACCTTTAACCATCAGAATTTAAGTGAAGGGGTAAAAGTGGTTTTCAAATTTCAAACATTTTATTTTTTTAATTAAACGAGCATTTAGTTACTTTTCAAAGAAATAGTTCAAGTAAGCAATCAATTAATAAGTAAGACTATTTCTTTAACTTAGATATAAAACAGCAATCTCAGTTTTCACAACTTTCGGCAGTTAAATATTTTCAAACTTGTGAGTTTGTAAAAGTTTTGGTTTTCAATACCTACCTTATCCCTTGACTTATGCACCTTTATGTACCAAAAACTCTATCGAATTGTATATAAAATTCTATATTGAGGTTATACAACCTCTTTGCAAAAATTAATTCGAGCATTAACTTGTCCCGTTCCGTCTCCCAGCACACCCCTACTACCCTTAAATCGAACACTGTATGTACTTTAAGCAAACTGTAGACAAATATAATGATAAAATCATGATAGACGTTGTACTGTTTATGTATTCCAAGTGGAATATCATTTTAAATTAATTATATTTAATATCCATACAATACATAGATAATTACTACAATAACAAATAACAATTACAATAAATACTGAAATAATTAAAAACATTAAGTATACTGCAAAATTAAAATTTTAATTTAAAGATATCGAAAATGATCAAAATTTAAAACCTAACCATATTTTGTATTCCATGTTTTATTTCAATGCATTAAATATCAAAAATAGAACAAATTTATATTTTTCGCATCAAACCTAAAAATATAAAATAAACCAAACCCAAATATTCGGTAAAATAATTCATCAACGAGGAAGATCATAAAATCGGATCGAATCGACGTGAGTCTAAATTAATGCTTAGTATGAAGTTTTAATAAATAAGTGTCGAAATTCGAACTTTAAATGCTTATAAAAAAAAATTGTGCCTATAAATTTTCAATGTTTTTCAACTGCTATTGTTACAATATATCAGGAGCCTTGCATTTAATTTTCACGCTTTTTTACCCCAATAAATAAAATAATTTAATTTTTATTGAAATGTATAAAACAGCTGTATCCTCTGTACACATACAATCATAAAATTACAACGATATTAAATGCATTTTTAAATAATAAAATAATTATTGTTCAACTTGGAATGTTGTGTACTATATAGTCGACAATATTTGACTTGGGGTTTCTCGTGTTCTTACAGATTATTCCTTTATACTATATACGATCAGGTATAATTTTTTGGTGAAAAATAGATCACACTCAATCCACTATTTGCGAATGATGTACTGGTGAGAACTTGCTGTATATTGTAGTTCATAACATTTATTGATTAATAGATATTTATTGTATCGTTATCACATTGTTTTCATTCGCAGTCGCTAGTGGAGTTTCCGTTTACCGACATTTTTAGGAAAAAAAACCCAAAACTATATTACTCTTTTGTAAGGTATCATGAAGGTACCAAACAATTATTTTTTTAGTAAAAATATTTAAACTTTAAATGTTCGTATCCCCCCCTCCCGACTATTATAAAAAGTTCTACGAATTTTCAATGTTGAACTCCTCAAAAGTATTGACTAAATCCAATTTGTTACCAGAAACATCCATCGAAGTTGATGATCAGAGCATTTTTTTCTACTAAAAAAGTGTTTCCGGACCAAAAAAAAGCACATCATTGTAAAATCAATACATTACGTCGCTACGCTCAGAATCTAAAATACTAAACATATTTTATTCATACGACAGAATAAATTTAATAACTGACACAAGTATGTTGGGTATTTAATAAGCATTTCAATTTTAATAATACTTCATTCAAAAGTATGATTCTGAGTAACAGTAATTTAAATGGTAATATATAATATGAATCGTATTTCGTTAAACAATTTGATTTTAACATTTTCAAGACATTAATTTTTAATTGATAATTTGAAAATAACAATTTCCTTGCATTTAACATGTCATGGATGATATTAAAAAACCAAAATAAATAAATAACCGAATAAAAATATACTCGTAATGTGCTTGGTACGAATTATAATTATTTTCCAGCCGCCATTATGTCATCACTTTTGATGACTTAAAAACGTACAAATTTTTCACATTGATACAAAAATCATTTACTAAAAATAATTCATAACACAAGGATACAAAACACTTAAAGGAAACTCCAAAAACACTTAAATATTTAGAAATTAAAACATAAAACACATACGGACAAACCATTGCAGTTGTACCATATCATATTATTGTATATGAGACCAAAAGTTTGTAGCCTTAAAAGTTAAAACTAATTATAAAACTAGAATAGTTGAATTCCATTAAGTATAAAAATCAAATAATAGTATTGCTCTGACGATTTGTTTTAATTTAATTAAAATATTTATTAAACCTCATCTAATTTGAATTTTACTTTTAAATAATTCAAAGTACGGTACGTGAAAAGACTAAGTATATGTATAAAGTATTATAATCTATAGTAGGTAGTACCTTTAGTCATCTGTACAATAATTAATTTTCATAATTTTAAGAAAACTATACCTAACAATTTTGTTTTTAAATTGAAGTTAACTTCTATACATTATAAATAAAGTAAAAAAGTATTATATAAATTTAATAACAAGAAAAATATACATAATTAAATGTATTACTAATTACAGTAAATATTCGTCGGACGTGTTGCGGTCTACTAGTCTAAACGACCAAATTAGTTCTGTTCTTTATATTGACCGTTAACAATTTTGACAAACGTATTATGATTTACATTTTAAAGTTAAATGTTAATTAAAATTTTAAAGTATTTAATATACTAAAAAAGTCGATTATAAATGTTTTTAAATACAGCCGCATTGTATTTTATTCTTTACCGTATACGGTACAAATATGTAATAAGAATGTTTTTTGGCGTTTATGCGTGTCAGTTTCACGTGTTAGAATTTCGTCCGAAAATCGGTCTATTATTTAACTTTTAGACTCAATGGAGTTAGTAGACAGGTTCTAATCCAACACACTCCTCATTAGTTTCCCTGCAGTTATTTCTATTCAGTTTAGTTACTTATAAATTGTGTTAAATATATAATCATTAATCATCATCTAGGTACTTACTTATATCATCATTATAAATAAATAAAATAATTGTTTCAATATAAATAATAATGATTTCAATATCCTATATAGGTACCATAATAACCTTTAATAAATTATAATGTGATACAAACAGATTCAATATTACCAACGACACTAACTTACTACTAAACAATTACTAAGTGCGTCTACAGATAATGATATTTAACCTTTCTATTTTGAATTTGTTTATACAGTTTTTTCAGGGATTTAGAATTGAACGATTACATTTCTACAAAAATAATTGAATATTAAATCCAAAATAATGTCGACTGATATAAATGAAGATTTAGAAGACGAAATAAGCCTAACTGACAGGTAAGTTATACTAGGTACTGTTACAATAAAAATGTAATATATCTTAATATTGAAAAATAACTATGCAAATATAAGTCACGTCAAGTCAATACTAAAATATACTAATAAATAATAATACATTTCTTAATCCACAACAGTTTAAACAAAAGAAAATATTGAAAATGTATTCTATAATTCTGCTATTTATTTTTATATTGGTACTTAGTACTTACATTATTTATTTTTAATTCTGAGCGGAGCTGAGCTTACAATGACGTATTTTATTTTTGTCTGATGACATGTTTCGTAGAAATAAATTTGCTCCAATCTTCAATATTGGGGTGGTTTCTAGTAGATAATTTGATCTAGTTAGTATACTTTCAAGGGTCAAAAGTAATATAAACAGTAACTTTATTAGTTTATTAGTTAGTCAGTAATTAATATGAACTATGATCCTCATTATTTATCAAAACGGTTTTAAAAACGAATAATTAAACTTTATCTACTTTCTAGGTTTGAAAAATACTATTTGTTGGTTGTTGTATGTCTCGGAAGCTTGGGAAATTGTATATCAGTGTTGGTGTTTTTCGGCACAAAATTACGAAAACAATCATCATCATATTATTTATCTTCGTTAGCAATCAGTGATACATTATTTTTATTAATACAACTGATGCCTGTGCTATCCAAAGTTGGAATTGGGATATACCACATGCAAGGTTTTTGTCAATTTTTCGTCTACTTAGCTCAGGTAAAACAAATACTACAAACAATAACTGCAGGTTAACGTATGCTATAAAACTGTTTGTACTAAAGTCATTAGTGATGTTTAAATTTAATTATACATTTTAAGAACGTAATCTAAATACATTAACTAAATTCTGTAGGTATTAAATGAAATATTGTAATTATACACACCGATAATCTATATACAAAACTAAATAAGATACTTGTTAATTAATCATTGTTATTTATCATATACACAATATTTTATTTTGGAATACATCTCGACACAGGGTACCTATACATATTATTACAATAAGGATTTTTTTGATAAATCAAGATAATATTATTTTAAAGGGAGTTTTTAGTATACCTAAAATAACATCTATAATAAACCTGGTATTCAATCTTTATAAATGAAACTAAAACTTTCAAACTATATTATAACAATAAAACCGACATTAATATTGTTTGCAATTAATTTAATGTAAATACAAAACGAATACGGGTTCTTAAAATATATTAAACATAAGTACATAATATACCTTTTACAGTTATCTTATTCAATTATAATGCGTTGTTAAATTTATCAAATTTTAGTGAAACCAAACACAACAATTGTTGTTTAAGTAAAA